ACTCCCTGGTAAAGGTAAATATTTAGACAAATATACAACCTTGATGTATGATAATGTATATATGCAAATCACTTTACAATCCAGTATAGAATTTAAGAAACAAAAACAAAAAGCTATAATATGTATGTTGATGAATATGAAATATAAAAAGATGTAACGTATATCATTAATAACATATAGCAGGAAAAGTGAAGATGTAAAGGAGTGGATTTTACATACAACTGAAGTGATTATCATACTTCAAGTGATCAGCTTAAAATAGATTGTTATAACTTTAAAATGTTTCATGTTATTGCAATGGTAATCACAAAGAAAATAACCATATAATATACACAAAGAGAAATGAAAAGAGAATCAAAGTATAGAACATTCCCTTAAGAGAGACATGTTAGACCACAAAACAAGTCTTAAAAATTTAAGAAGATTCAAATCATTCAAAGCATCTTCTCTAACCACAATGAAATGAAATTAGAAATAGAAGAAAAACAAGGCAATCCACAAATATGTGGAAACTAAACAATGCACTTTTTAAATTACTCAAATATATATTTAGGCATAAATTAAAATTCAAATTATAATTCAAATATATTCATTTTACTATAAACCAAATCCCTCTTACTATGTTTAGACTCAATTGACATCAGGGTCAGAAGAGGCAGTCCACTATTGGCCCTCCTACATGCCCTCCTGCATGTGGAGTGTGTCAAACTGCAAGCCCTAACTGTTTTGACTCCACACCCTTTCTATAGCTAGTCATGCAAGCAAATTAATAAGTTGACCACAGCTGACTGTCATACAGTTCCCTTGATTTTTTTCACACATAAAAAAGCCCATTTAACAGATTCTTTTTATAAAATACAAAGTTTTAATTATTTTTAAGTATTTATATTTTGGATTCTTTATAATTGAGATATAATTAACATAACATATTAGTTTCAGGTGTATGACATAATGAATCAATATATGTGTATATTTCAAATGATCACCACAATAAGCCTAATTAACATTTTTCACCACACATAATTACAAACATCTTTCCTGTGGTGAGAACTTTCAAGATTTGCTGTCTTAGCCACTTTCAAATATACAATATAGTGTTATTAACTGTAGTCACCATGCTGTACATTATATCCCCAGGACCTACTTATTTATATCTATCTTGTACCTTTTGACCACCTTCACCATTTCACCCATCCTTTATCCCCCACCTCTGAAAACTACCAATCCATCATTTGTATCATTGAGTTGGTTTTGTTGTTGCTTGTTTGTTTTTAGATACCGCATATAAGTGAGATCAATAGTATTTGTCTTTCTTTGTCTGACTTATTTCACTTAGCATAATGCCCTCAAGGTCCATCCATGTTGTCAAAAATGGCAAGATTTCCTTCTTTTTGTGGCTGAATAATGTTCCATTGTCTATATATATTACATTTTCTTCATCCATTCATCTATCAATAAACATTTAGGTTGAGTCCATGTCTTAGTTATTATGAAGTGCTGTAAAGAACATGGAGTTGCATATATCTTTGGGAGATAGTGTTTTCGTTTCTTTCAGAAAAATATCCAGAAGTGGAATTTTTAGACCATATGATAGTTCTATTTTTTTCAAGTTTGTTTTATTGATGTTTTATTGATGCCTATATTGAGGCCTTGACTAGATACTTTTTTTTTTCTCATTAAACTTCTGTTTTAATGCGTCTCAAAATTCTGTGGCAGGTTTTTGGTCAAGTTGTTTCTATTAAAAACTACTTATTTTATTTTATTTTTTTTAAAGATTTTATTTATTTATTCATGATAGAGAGAGAGAAAAAGGCAGAGATACAGACAGAAGGAGAAGCAGGCTTCATGCAAGGGAGTCCGATGTGGGACTCGATCTCGGGTCTCCACGACCTGGGCCGAAGGCAGCGCTAAACTGCTAAGCCACCCAGGCTGCCCAAAACTACTTATTTTAAAAATTAATAACTTAAAACTGCCACACACACACACACACACACACAAAAACAAATGGTCCACAAAACATTCTCTTTGCTTCTGAAGGTTTTACAATGCATTGTTATCATCAACCAGTCTTTTACTAATAGTCTCAAATGGCCAATTGACACAAAGAGGCCTCAGACTGTTCTTCCACCACTGATTAACACTGGGGTGGCAGGTATTCAATATTATATTCATTTAGCCTTCTGAGTTTTCTGGGTGGACTTGGTGACCTTGCGAGCTCCAGATGCCTTCTTTGTCCACTGCTTTGATGACACCCACAGTGACTGTCTGTCTCATGTCATGAAGCAAAATGGCCGAGAGGATAGTCAGAGAAGCTCTCAACACACATACACTTGCCAGGAACCGTATCAACAGTGGCAGCATTACCAGATTTCAAGAACTTGGGACCATCTTCCAGCTTTTGTCCAGAATGATCATCTATCTTCTCCTCCAGCCCGGCAAACTTGCAAGCAATGGGCTGTATGACAATCCATCACAGGTGTATATCCAGCACTTATTTGGTCTGGATGGTTCAGGATAATCACCTGAGCCATGAAGCCAGCTGCTTCCACTGGTGGATCATTTTTGCTATCACCAGCCACACTGCCATGATGAACATCTTTGACAGATACATTCTTGACATTGAAGCCCACATTGTCCCCAGGAAGAGCCTTACTCAAAGTTTCATGGTACATTTCAACACACTTTGAAATCCAAAGGTGTGACACTGACTTGAGCAAAGTTGACCACCATGCCAGGTTTAAGAACACCAGTCTCCATTCGGCTCACAGGGACAGTAACAATACCACCAATTTTGTAGACATCCTGGAGAGGTAGATGCAAGGGCCTATCAGTGGGACGAGCTGGTGGCAGAATGCAATAGAGCTTCAAGAAGGGTGGCTCCACTGTCATTCCCATCTTTACACATGATTTCCCATCCCTTGAACCAAGGCATGTTAGCACTTGGCTCCAACATGTTATCACCATTCCAACCAGAATCTGGCACAAATGCTACTCTGTTGGGATTGTAGCCAATTTTCTTAATGTAGATCCTGACATCCTTAACGGTTTCCTTGTATGTCTTCTGGCTGTAGGGTGGCTCAGTAGAATCTGTTTTGTTTACATGAACAATTAGTTGTTTTACACCCAGTGCGTAAGCCAGAAGGGCACGCTCGTAAGCCTGCCCCTTCTTGGAGATACTCACTTCAAATTCATCAACACCAGCAGCAACAATCAAGACAGCACAATCAGTCTGAGATGTGCCTGTAATCATGTTTTTTATAAAGTCTCTGTGTCCTGGGGCATCAATGATGGTCATGTAATACTTGCTGGTCTCAAATTTCCACAGGGAGATATCAACAGTGATACCATGTTCACATTCAGTTTTTAGATTACCCAAGACTCAGGCATACTTGAAGGATCCCTTTCCCGTATCAGTAGCCTCCCTCTCAAATTTTTCAATAGTTCTTTTGTCGATCCCACCACATTTATAGATTAGATGACTAGTAGTGGTAGACTTGCTCAAATCTATACGTCCAATGATGATGATGTTGATGTGAGTCTTTTCCTTTCCCATTTTGGTTTAGGTTTAGTGGTGGTTTTCACATCTGCATCTGGCAGCAAATCCGTTAGGAAAAAGCTTGACCAGATACTTCTGCAGCGAGTGTAGCTGCTCCTGCTGCTGCTGCTTCTTGGTCTTCAGGTTGTCCTGGTGCTTGTTCAGTCACAGTGCATGGCACATGTCTTCTTGGGCTGCACATCCCGTGGCTTGTACTTCTTACTCTTGTAGAATTTCCTGAGGTCCTCTTTCTGAATCTGGCTCATGACCAGATGTTAAATTAACTAAGAAAATAAGAAAGAAGACTCAAATAGCTAAGCTTAGAAATGAAAGCAGGGATCTTACAACCGATGTCCCAGAAATAAAAAGGGTCATAAGAGATTACTATGAATAATTATATGCCAATAATAGGATAACATAGAAGAAATGGACAAATTCCTAGAAACATCTAACCCAACAAGACTGAATCATAAAAAATAAAAATAAAAATAAAAATCTGAACAGACTTATACCTAGTTAGGAGATTGAAGCTGTAATTAAAAAGTTCCCAAAAAATCCCTGGGTGGCCCAGCGGTTTGGCACCTGCCTTTGGCCCAGGGCGCGATCCTGGAGACCCGGGATCGAATCCCACGTCAGGCTCCCGGAGTCTGCTTCTCCCTCTGCCTGTGTCTCTGCCTCTCTCTCTTTCTCTCTGTGTGACTATCATAAATAAATAAAAATTTTAAAAAAAGAATAACATTGGTTATGTTTTTTAAAAAATAAATAAATAAATAAATAAATAAAAATAAAAAGTTCCCAAAAAAGAAAAGCTTAGAACCAAATGGCTTCACTGAAGAATTGTACCAAACATTTAAGGAATTAATACCAATCCTTCTCAAATTCTGCTTATGAATTTAGGATAGAATACTCCCCAAGTTACTTTATTATGCCAGCATTAAAGAAAGCATTACCCTGATATCAAAACCAAGAAAGTTAAAGATCCCAGTAAAGAAACCCATAGAGCAATATTCTTGATTAATATTGATACAAAGATCCTAATCAAAATACTAGCAAACTGTAATTTGAATCTTTTCTATACTCCATATCCACGACTAACTCAAAGTGATTAAAAACCTAATATAAGACCCAAAACTATACAACTCCTAGAAGTAGACATAGAAAAACACTTCAGTATATTGTGTTTGGCAATGATTTCTTGGCTATAACATCAAAAGTACAGGCAACAAAATAAAAAATAGATAAATGGAAGTATATCAAAATTAAAATCTTCTATATGTTAATGAAATAGTTAACAGAATAAAAAGGCAACCCCGGAATGGGAGAAAATGTTTGCAAATCACCTATGTTGATAGGAGGTTAATCCAGAATATATAAGGAACTACTACAACTCAACAACAAATAAATACAATTAGGATATGGACAAAGGGAGAGTCGAGACCAGAGGCCGAACTCGGGATCTGACAAGATGGCCGGGCTGCCCTGCAGGATTATCAAGGAAACCCAGCGTTTGCTGGCAGAACCAGTTCCTGGCATTAAAGCAGAACCAGATGAGAGCAACGTCCGTTATTTTCATGTGGTCATTGCTGGCCCCCAGGATTCCCCCTTTGAGGGAGGGACTTTTAAACTGGAACTATTTCTTCCAGAAGAATACCCGATGGCAGCCCCTAAAGTACGTTTCATGACCAAAATTTATCATCCTAATGTAGACAAGTTGGGAAGAATATGTTTAGATATTTTGAAAGATAAGTGGTCCCCAGCACTGCAGATCCACACAGTTCTGTTATCGATCCAGGCTTTGTTAAGTGCTCCCAATCCAGATGATCCGTTAGCAAATGATGTAGCAGAGCAGTGGAAGACCAACGAAGCTCAAGCCGTAGAAACAGCTAGAGCATGGACTAGGCTATATGCCATGAATAATATTTAAAATCGATCTGATCATCAAGTGTGCATCACTTCTGTTCTGCCAAGACTTCTTCCTTTTTTGTTTGCATTTAATGGACACAGTCTTAGAAACATTACAGAATAAAAGCCCAGACATCTTCAGTCCTTTGGTGATTAAATGCACATTAGCAAATCTATGTCTTGTCCTGATTCACTGTTGTAAAGCATAAACAGAGGCTAGAAGTATCATCTGGATTGTTGTGAAACATTTAAAAGCAGGTGCCCCTCTGCTTTTATTCATTTCCCCTATCATGGTTTAGGTATAAGCACTGTGAATGAAGGTAGTTGTCAGGGTTAGCTGCAGGGGTGTGGGTGTTTTTCTTTATTATTATTTTTGAGGGGGAGAGGTAGTTTTATTTTAATTTTATGGGCTCCTTTCCCGCTTTTTATGGTGATCTAATTGCATAGGTTAAAAGCATCTATGGCAGCCTGGGTGGCTCAGCAGTTTAGCGCCGCCTTCAGCTCCGAGTACGATCCTGGAGACCCAGGATCAAGTCCCGCATCGGATTCCCTGCATGGAGACTGCTTATCCCTCTGCCTGTGTCTCTGCCGCTCTCTATCTCTCTCTGTGTGTATCTCATGAATAAATAAATAAAATCTTAAAAAAAAAAAAAAGCAGCTAACCAGTTCTTTAGAATATGCTCTCTAGCCAAGTCTAACTTTATTTAGACGCTGTAGATGGACAAGCTTGATTGCTTGAACCAAAATGGGAACATTAAATAAACATCACAGCCCTCACTAATAACATTGTGACTTTGCTGTCAAGTGTAGAATCCTTCCTTCAAGAAAAAGCTTGTGACCATTTTGTATGGATTGTCTGGAAACTTCTGTAAATCTTATGTTTTAGCAAAATATTTTTTGTTATTCTAAAAAAAAAGATACGGACAAAGGACTTGAATAGACATTTTTATACAGAATATACACAAATAGCCAAGAAGCACACAAAAAGATGCTCAACATCACTAATCATTAGGAATATGCAAATCAAAATCACTCAAAGACATCCTCTCATACCCACTGGGATGGCAACTATCAAAAGAACAGAAAATAAAGTGCTGGTGAGGAAATGGAGAAGTTGGAACACTTGTGCCCTGTAGTGTAAAATGGTGTAGCCATCATGGAAAATAGTATGGAGATTCCTCAAAAAAAGTAAAATAGAAATACCATATGATCCAACAATCTCACTTCTGGGTATATGTACCCAATAGCATTCAAAGGAGAGTCTTGAAATGATATTTGCACACCCATGTTCATTGCAGCATTACTCACAATAGCCAAGTGATAGAAGCAATCCAAATCTTCACGAATGAATAAATGGATAAAGAAAATGTGGTATTAAAAAAAAAGAAAGAAAGAAAAAGAAAATGTGGTATATACATATATGTTAGAATATTATGCATTCTTTAAAAAGCAGGAAATCTGGGGTGCCTGTGTGGCTCAGTCAGTTAAGTGTCTGCCTTCGGCTCAGGTCATGATCCCAGGGTCCTGGCCTCAGGTGGGGTTCCTTGCTCAGCAGGAAACCTACTTCTCCCCCTCCCTCTGCCTCTCCCCCTGTTTGTGCTCATGCGGTTTATCTCTCTCTCTCACTCTGTCAAATAAATGAAATCTTTTTTTTTAAAGGCAAGAAATCCTATAACATGCTATAAAATGGTTGAACATTTAAATAAGTCAGTCACAAAAGAACAAATAACGTATGATTCTACTCATACAAAGTGTCTAAAGTAGCCAAACCATAGAAGCAAGAAAGTAGAAAGGTGGTTACCAAAGGCTGGGGGGGTGCAGGAAGTAGAGAGGAGTAATTAGTATTTAATGTGTAAAGTTTCAATACTGCAAGAAGAAAAAAAAATACTGCAAAAAGAAAAGTTATAGATATCTGTTGCATAACACTATGAATATACTTAACATTACTGAACCATTCATTTAAAAATGGGACCGATGGGGATCCCTGGGTAGCTCAGCGGTTTGGCACCTGCCTTCAGGTCAGGGCATGGTCCTGGAGTCCCAGGATCGAGTCCACATCAGGCTCCCTGCATTGAGCCTGCTTCTCCCTCTGCCTGTGTCTCTGCACCCACACCCACCCACCCCCCGTCGTCTCTCATGAATAAATAAATAAATCTTTAAAAAATAAATAAAAGGGGGATCCCTGCGTGGCTCAGTGGTTTCGCGCCTGCCTTTGGCCCGGGGCGTAATCCTGGAGTCTCGGGATCGAGTCCCGCGTCGGGCTCCTGGCATGGAGCCTGCTTCTCCCTCTGCCTGTGTCTCTGCCTCTCTCTCTCTCTATGTCTATCATGAATAAAAAAAATAAATCTTTAAAAAAATAATAAATAAATAAATAATAAATAAAAATAAAAATGGGATCGAGCCTATATCAGGCTCCCTACAGGAAGTCTACTTCTCCCTCTGCCTATGTCTCTGCCTCTCTCTCTCTCTCTCTCTCTGTGACTATCATAAATAAATAAAATAAAATAAAAAATTAAAAAAAGCTTGCATTAAATATAAAGGCAGAAGTAGGTTAAAAATAAAAGTATGGGAAAAGCTATGTCATATTAATACTAATTTAAAAAAGCTATTGTAGGGATCCCTGGGTGGCGCAGAGGTTTAGCGCCTGCCTTTGGCCCGGGGCGCGATCCTGGAGACCCGGGATCGAATCCTACGTTGGGCTCCCGGTGCATGGAGCCTGCTTCTCCCTCTGCCTGTGTCTCTGCCTCTCTCTCTCTCTCTGTGTGTGACTATCATAAATAAAAATTTTAAAAAAAAGCTATTGTAGTGGTTATATTAATACCAGACAAACTAAATTGCAAAGCAAAAGATATTACCAAGAATTTAGATTATTTCATAATCACAGAGGTATCAGTTTATCCTAAGTGTTTATTCATTTCATGTGGAGCTTCAAAATAAATGAAGCAAGAGCTAATAAAATGAAAGGAGAAATATGGAAAATTTCCATAATAGCTGGAGATTTCAACAACCTCTCAGTAACTGATAAAACAAGTTGATAGCAATTCAGAAGGGATTAAAAAAAAAGTCTTAAAAAAAAGTCTTAAACAATGCTATCAACCAACTTGAGATACTGATGTTTCAGAACACTTGGCACAACAGCAGCAGCATATAAATTCATTTATATTGTACGTGGAGGGGATCGCTGGATGGCTCAGCAGTTTAGCGCCTGCCTTTGGCCCAGGTCCTGGAGACCCGGAATCGAGTCCCACATCGGGCTCCCTGCATGGAGCCTGCTTCTCCCTCTGCCTGTGTCTCTGCCTCTCTCTGTGTCTCTCATGAATAAATAAAATCTTAAAAAAAAAAATATATATATATATATATATAATACATGGAATCTCTGTCAACATGGACCAGAATCTGGGCTATAAATATCAATAAATTTTAAAGGATTCAAATCATACAAACTATATTCTGTGACTACAATGTAACTGAATTAGAAATCTGTTAACAGAAAGGTACCCAGAAAATTGGAGCTATTAGAAAATTAATACACTTCTTAAAAACTCACGGGACAAAGAAAAAAGCAAGAGAAACTAGAAAGTGTTTTGAACCAAATCCAAATAATAAACATTTAAAAATCTGTAGGACACAGTTAAAACCGTAGTTGGAGGGAAATTCATAGCACTAAACACATATTTTAAGGGAGGGGAAAGACCTCATATCAAACGACCTCAGCTTCTTCCTTAAGACATTACAAATAGGGACACCTGGGTGGTTCAGCAGTTGAGCATCTGCCTTTAGCTCAAGGCGTGGACCTGGCATCGGGTCTCCGCAGGGAGCCTGCTTCTCTGCCTAAGTCTGCCTCTGTCTGTATGTGTCTCCTGAATAAATAAATAATATCTTTAAAGAAAAAAAAGAAAGAAAGAAATTACAAATAGAGGAGCTACTTAAATCCCAGGCAGGAAAAAGAAAACAAATAATATAGGTCGGAGTAGAAAATAATCAAATTGAAGACAGAAAACAATTAAGAGGGGGAAAAAAAGCAATGAAAAAAAAAAAAAAAACCTTGCTTACTTGAAAAAATCAAACCATTAGCCGAACTGATCAGACACTAAAAAAGAGAAGATACATGACAGATATTAAGAGAGATGTGGCCTCATTACAGATTCTACAGGTTTTATATAGGCTAATAAGGAAATACCGTGAAAATCTTAAACTAATACTTTGAGAACTTAGATGAAACAGACATTTGTCTTGTGAAGAGCTGATTTTCATAAAATCTCAATATTCTAAATTGCTTTTATTATTTCAGGATGGCATGCTATAGACACTGTACAGTGAACATCTATAAATTCAAAATCAGCTTCAAATAACTAAAAATTAAATTGGAAAAAGCGTATGAAATGGAAACAAGTATTCACATGCGCAAACTGTCCCTGCATTTACCTGGGAAACGTTCCAGTTGGAGCACGGGCTGACTTTCTGCCTTGGAATCTGAGGCTGTTTTATACTGACAAGCGACGATTTGACACTGGCTACGTTCCTCACAGCCAGAGGGGTTTTGAGGGCTCCTCTGCTCACCTCGCCAATGAAAATTCCTCCTTTATCGTGAATAGCACTTTCTCCTTGGTAAAGCTCAGTGATCTCCAAGGCAACCTTGTTAGCGGCACTTTTAGGATCCTCACAACTTTACAAGACAAACAAGGAGAGTGTTATTTCCCCTCCTGTTTCATAGACGAGAAAAGAAGCTGTGGGGATGAGAACTGACGCTCGTTCCAAAACTTTGGTTCTCAACTGTTCTGATTTAGGAAGCCACTAACTCCCTCGCTCTCTTGTTTTTCTTTCACCACTTTCACCCAGCCCTGTTCCTATAAGCAGTGCTCTGCAGGCACGAGGGATCCTCAGAAAAAGCCCCTGCTTGCTCCTGAGGGCCTCAGATTGTGGCAGGATAATTCCCAGATTAAAACACAGCACGGGGAGCTTAAGGTGCATGGGAGAATAAAAACCTAGAACGCCACCTCAGCTCCAGGGACACCTGGGTGGCGCAGTGGCTGAGCACCTGCCTTGGGCTCAGGGGGCGACCCCACAGTCCTGGGATCGAGCCTGCTTCTCCCTCTGCCCCTCTCTGTCTCTCAGGAACAAATAAAAATCTTTTTTTTTTAATTTTTTTTTTTTTTTTTTTTACTTCTTTTTAACTGAGTATACCCATCCCGCGGCCAAGGGCCGTGCAGTTTCCAGAGACCCCACGCCCACACACGAGGTAGACTCCGCTGGCCAGAAGCTGAGGTAATGAGGTAGGTTTTCAGTGAAAGGAGCAGGAACCCCCAAATTTCCATTTCCACAGGCTCCGTCCCGGAAGGCGGGCATTGGTCGTGAGGCCTCCGCTCCGCGCCGACCGAAACCCCTCACTCCGCAGCCCAGGAAGTGGCGCCCGCGGCCCGCGGCATCCGGGGAGCCCGACCGGCCCGCGCGCGCCACCGAGTCACGTGCCCGCCAAAGATGGCTGCGCTCGGGCGAGGTGAGCGGAGGTTGGAGTGAGCCCCGAGCGGGCGGAGGAGGGCTGGCGGCGGCACCGACTGCCGAGAGGGAAGCCTAAGGTACTGGCATTCCGGGGGAAAGCGTGCAGAAGTGCCCGCATACCTGGAGAAGCACAGCGCGGTGACAGGCTGGTCGCCGGCAGTGCGGGACCGAGACCCCGGGACTGGGTCGGAAGTGGGGGAGGGGAGAGCGCACTACGGTCTCGTCGCTTCACGCCCTAGAAGATCCTACATTTACATTAAGCCAAGAGGAAAAACAAACGCCTGCGCTTGAATTTAACCCCGTTTTACTGCCAGTATCCAGGATGACCTTGGCCTAACTTAGTTTTCAGAGGACCCAGTTGACGCCTTGCCTGAGAGTTAACCTGAGGGACAAAGAGAGCCAATGCAAAAAAAAAGCCTTTGGAAATGTTTGTGGTATTTAGAGGTGGCATTGTCTTGGATTAGGATTTATTAATAAGAGACACGACATCTTACTGCAGGCTGCCATGTGAAACTTTTACTGAATTAGGAAGACTTAAAAACTACACCTTAGAAATGGCTAGTTCCTAGAACTTGGAACCTCACCAGTATGCAGAGCATAAAATATAAAACTAGTGATAACATTAGGCAGGACTTTCTGAGGAAATGCATACTGTACACACTTTGTCTGTGTGTACTGAATTTATGTATTTCTACACGCATTCCAAACAGAAACAGAATCATTCAAAGCTCCTGCAGGGGGCAGCAGATACTGTATCTCTCATAGTATTGTAACCAAAGATGATGAGACATTGTCACCTGCCCTGTTCTGGTTCCAATGTTTGAGAGCAATTTATTACCTCCAAACTAAAGCTTACTTTGCAGTTCCAGCTTTCTTCCACACTGTTCCTCTCTTCTAATTTGGTGAAAGTACCAGTGATAGCGCCTGCTCTTTTCTCTTCAAAGCTGCCACCATTGACTTTATTCCTATGTTAGTCTTTCTGGCGCTCTACCTTACTTCCTGGAAACGTGGACATAGGCCCTTTTTTGCTTGAAAAGTTGTTCTGTTATCTACCTTAGGAAAACCACTAAAAGGATGTACAGTGTGTGTGTGATGGGGGAAGAGCCATAGGATATAAACCTTATGAAATCTCACCAAGTTCTTATTGTTGCCCTTGGTTTATAGGTTCTCGTTTGTTGAGACGGTGAGTGGCGGCAAGACTGGAATTTACTCAGGACAGTAAAATAAAACCAAAATGCATTTTAAATCCTTCAAACCCTTACCACTCACCAAGATTATTATGCCAGTTTTCCTACTGGTCTTTCTTTTCTCTCCTACATTAAATCTATTTCCCAAAAGCACTGCTTATAGGAACAGAAGTCTGAGTCCCAGAACCTAGATGTAAATTTTTAAGTCTACATTGTATTTATTAAATCTAAGGTTATGAAATTTCAGTTCACTTAACATGTTCTAAATGATCTGGTACCCAGCAGTAAATCAGTGTCGTAAATTAATCTTGTAGCAAATGGATAACAAATCACGAAAATCTGATTTCATAAAACTATGTTGTATTCTGTCTAAACTTTTGCTTTTCTTAACTTTGCTACCCTGAAATCTTGCTTGATGAGCTAAATCTTCGGTTTAATACTCCCAATTCACCATCCCTCTACTCTGCATGCACTCCAACTAGTGCAAGGATCAAGGAACTCCCGTCCTTTTTGACAAAAACCGTATGTGTCCTGCAAAGTCTAAAATATTTATTATGTGTAGCCCTTTTGAAAAGTTTGCTAATTTCTACTTTAGGGCATACCTATAAGTGAAACTGGTAATGTTTCTTCTACCTATTAAATAATACCTAACTCTTTTTCCAAAGTAGTTGTACGCAAAATGAGTACCATGTACATGTCTACCAGCAGCTCATTGAGTTTGTTACCCCACATTTTTGCCAGTAACTGAAATTGTTAGGTTTTAATTTACCTAACCTGTCACGGTTTTTATTTTTTTTTTCCCCGATTATAATGAGGTTAAGCATATTTTCGTGTTTATTGGCTGTTTGCTTCCCTCTTTGTGAAAGTACCTGTTCAAACCTTTTGCCAGTTTTTCTATTGAGTTGTTTGCCTTTTTCTTGATGATGTGCATTTCTTCATTTTCTGGGTACTAACTGCTCCTTTGTCAGTTATATTGCAGACATCTTCTCCCACTCTGGCTTTATATAGATCTTTATATATATCCATTGATCAATATTAACTATTGACTAATATTAATACTAGTTTTATGTTCAGTGCTATTTGCAAATTAAGAAATATGTTTAAGGGTTATAAAGATATTCTTTATTTCCTAGAAGCTTTATGGGTTGTTTTGCATGTCTGGTTTCTATTTCACTTAGAATGTATTTGTTTGGTATGATGTGTATGCACTGATTTTTCAGATTATGAATCAAACTATAGCTAATTTTTAAATTAAATATTTATGGTATTTAAGCTTTTTATAAGCCATTTTGTTGTTTTTTTCTATAGATATATACTATTGAAAGATATTTTAATTTAAGGCTCAAGATGGAAAATCATGAACCACATGATACTGCCAAGGAAAACCTAATTTTCAATATCATAACCAGAAAAATTAGCCAACTCCCAGAAGCGGAAAGGTAAGATCCCTTCTTAGTTTAAAAATATTTTTTGCCAGGTGGATTTTCATAATTGGTTCATTATCTCACATTTATTTGGTTTAAATATAAACATAGGACATCAGAAAGAAACCGAGCTCTTTTTCTTGCCTTACTGAAAAAACCTGAGAGACCAAAAGAGACTAACTATTTTGCTTGTGGTCAAGGCTAGAATTGATATCTTTGGATTTAATTATATGATCATTCTCAGTTTTTTCCATTTGGCTTCGAATATTGTTAAATGTGAACATTTAGGGCAGCCCTGGTGGCGCAGCGGTTTAGCGCCGCCTGCAGCCCGGGGTGTGATCCTGGAGACCCAGGATCGAGTCCCGCATCGGGCTTCCTGCATGGAGCCTGCTTCTCCCTCTGCCTGTGTCTCTTGCCTCTCTCTTCGCTCTCTCTGAATTAATAAATAAATCTTTAAAAAAAAATGTGAACATTTATGAACTCATCTAAATAACAGACGTTTAAAATAGCTTCTAAATTGTCTTGTCAGTTCATTTCTATTATTACGTCTAACAGTCCAAGAGAGTGCCATATAACACACATAACTAGACAAGGAGTGCCAGAGAAATGGGATCATGGCTAAAGATGTCTATCATTAAATAAAAAAAAGCTATATAGGAATCATACTGATCTTTGAAGACAACATTGAGTAAACTATAGTGCACTTCCTTAGCAAGAAGGCTTCTCTGACTAGATTCCATTTAAAGAGAAATTATGAGGCCAAAAAGGATTTTAAAAAAAGAAGACAGCCTAGGGAGGGGTTTTGGGGACAGATCTAAGGCAGAGAGGATGGCATATGCCTCAGCCATAGGATAGCAAAGAGTTGATCATATCTGAGGAACCAGTGCTATGGAAGTACAGGGAAATAGGCATAAGGTTGAAGGAACAGGAAGAGTTTTAAGCAGGGAACGGTATGACCCAGCTAACATTTCTAGAGAACATTCCAGTTGCTTTTGGGAAATAGATTTAATGTAGGAGAGAAAAGAAAGACCAGTAGGAAAACTGGCATAATAATCTTGGTGAGTGGTAAGGGTTTGAAGGATTTAAAATGCATTTTGGTTTTATTTTACTGTCCTGAGTAAATTCCAGTCTTGCCGCCACTCACCGTCTCAACAAACGAGAACCTATAAACCAAGGGCAACAATAAGAACTTGGTGAGATTTCATAAGGTTTATATCCTATGGCTCTTCCCCCATCACACACACACTGTACATCCTTTTAGTGGTTTTCCTAAGGTAGATAACAGAACAACTTTTCAAGCAAAAAAGGGCCTATGTCCACGTTTCCAGGAAGTAAGGTAGAGCGCCAGAAAGACTAACATAGGAATAAAGTCAGTGGTGGCAGCTTTGAAGAGAAAAGAGCAGGCGCTATCACTGGTACTTTCACCAAATTAGAAGAGAGGAACAGTGTGGAAGAAAGCTGGAACTGCAAAGTAAGCTTTAGTTTGGAGGTAATAAATTGCTCTCAAACATTGGAACCAGAACAGGGCAGGTGACAATGTCTCATCATCTTTGCCTTATTCCCTCTTTTCCTCTGTTCCTATTTTCTTATATAATAGTTATTTGAAAAGTCCTCAGGTATATAAAACTATCAAAAAACCTCAGTTTCTGACCTACAAAGTAATTATATGTACTGTATATTTCATTGCCACTTAGAGTTCATGTTTCATTCATGTATCTATTTTATTTTTTAATTTTATTTATTTATTCATGAGAGAGAGAGAGGGAGAGGGAGAGAGGCAGAGACACAGGCAGAGGGAGCCTGACATGGGACTCCATCCTGGGTCTCCAGGATCACACCCTGGGCTGAATGCGGCACTAAACCTGAGCCACCCAGGCTGCCCTGTCCTAACTTTTTAAATATTATCTTGTGTACCCTAAGTTTTTAAACTACCTCTCTCTTGTACTTCCATTACCATTTCAGTAGATTCGTTATATCTCATGTTCACATGTCTTTCATCCTCCAATAATAAACTATAAAACACTCAAGGTAGAAAATAATTTTTGTAGAAAATAATTTTTTGTGACTTCAGTATCAAGTCTGCTGTATGTAGAAAATAATTTTTTGTGACTTCAGCATCAAGTCTGCTCAATGATTGAATGACAAGCACCATTATGATTGCAAAGTGACAGGTAAGGAAAATAATGCATTATAAAATATAGGAAACTCAGGAATTCCTAGAAAAGCTGTTTTAAGATGAGCGTTAACCATAAAGGTTAGGGGGGTATTGTGTGGCTAGTCTGGCTAAATAAGTAATGAAAAATTTAAGAGACTGATGCCTGTGTTGTAGATGGCAAGGCAGGTGGTAAAAAAAAGTTAAGTGGTAAGCTGAAGAGTTTGTGGAGTACAGTATCTAGCATTAAGTTTAGGTATCATTTCTTCTGAAAGAAAGCACAGAACATGCATTTTAAAACTCATACATAGGGATCCCTGCGTGGCGCAGCGGTTTAGCACCTGCCTTTGACCCAGGGCGCGATCCTGGAGACCCGGGATCGAATCCCACTTCGGGCTCCCAGTGCATGGAGCCTGCTTCTCCCTCTGCCTGTGTCTCTGCCTCTCTCTCTGTGTGTGTGACTATCATAAATAAATAAAAATTTAAAAAAAAAAAGAAACTCCTGTAGTTTTAAAAAAAATAAAAAAAAAAAACTCATACATACCTTGACTAAAAACCATACTACTTAGTAACTCAAACAGAAATTTATTCTTTATTTCTAAAGGTTGTAAAGTACCTAGCATATAGTATCCCGTAAATGCAAGTAACTCCTCCACTTCCCTGTCCTTGACTCTAATGCTTCAGGGTAAAGTGAAAGGAAACATAATTAGCTCCACCTTACTGAATGCCTTTTAGGTGTCAGGTGCTAATGAAACCAAAATGACTAGATCTTTGTATCCACTATCCTCAAGTTATTTACTTGAAGACTAGTGGGGAAGCCTGACATTATAAATCACTGATGATAAGATAGTACCACTTTATCATCTATTGTGCTAGAGAAGAAAGTATTGGGTATTGTGGGAATCCAAAGGAGAGGTATTCATGTAAGACTCTTTGAAGCTCTTCCCCATTACATAGTTGGGGGAAAATTTCTATACTAATCTTTTACAGAATCACAAAATACATTTAGCAAAATCTGAATGTATCACTCTATCCTGAAGTGTTGACCAAATTCAAAAGGTTTAAAATAAAAATTTGTATGTAAAACATTATTTTAGGGACGCCTGGGTGGCTCAGCGGTTGCGCGTCTGCCTTTGGCTCAGGGAGTGATCTCGTGGGATCCAGTCCCATATCAGGCTCCCTGTGGGGAGCCTGCTTCTCCCTCTGGCTGTGTCTCTGCCTTTCTCTGTGTCTTTCATGAATAAATAAATATTTAAAAAAAAAAAAACACTTTTTTTTTAAAGGTTTTCATTTTATGGGGCTATATATAAGGGATAAATGTTGTATCCTGTTATTCCTAAAGTCCTGTTAAGGCCTAATAACATACAATTGTTGGACAGTTCACAAAATATAGTACCCTCCCAAAATGTTTTTTTGTCGCCACTCAGGAATCTGTTTGAAAATGGATCAGCATATATTGGACTTAATGCTGCTCTCTGTGGTCTAATAGCAAACAGTCTTTTTCGACGCATCTTAAATGTGACACAGGCTCGTATAGCTGCTGGCTTACCAATGGCAGTGATCCCATTTTTGACGGCTCATGCATCTTACAAAGGTTTTGTAAGTTTACCTTTGAATACAGGTAAATTCTATTTCACTATCACTAGAATTTGTTTTGGTGTATATTATTTGCACCTTACACTAATCCTTCAATATTTACATCAGGTATCTAGCTATATGCCATATCATAGTCAGTGAATGGGTAAGGCTGAAATGTGCTAGCCTTTGTAAAGTGGCAGTTCATATTAGCAGTCTTCTCTACAAGTAAAATACACATACATGGCAATTCTAAATACCTACCTTTCCTAGAATACTTAAAGTAAGAAATATTTGCAGACTTTATATTTTTAAATGCTGACTGCCTTAGTTTTTTTAGAAAACGTATCGGGAAGTCCCTCAAGACAAAACACTTATGGTAGGGGTGCCTGGGTGGCTCAGTTGGTTAAGCTTCTACCTTTGGCTCAGGTCATGATCCTAGGGTTTCTGGGTTGGAGCCTGCTCAGCAGGGAAGCCTGCTTCTCCCTCTCCCTCTGCCCATGTGCTGTCACTCACTCTCTGTTGAATAAATAAATAAAATCTTTAAAAATATATGTAAGAGAAAAAGACTTTCATAGTAAATCTTTCAAAGCATTAGATATATACATATGAGAATTATCGAATATATGCAGATTTGATTTCCTTTTGATAGTTTTAATGTATGTGCTGAGTGCTCGGAGTATAGACATACCTTGGAGATACTGCAGATTTGCCAGACCACTGCAATACAGTGGATATTACAGTAAAGTCAAATGAATTTTTTTATGTCCCAGGGCATATAAAAGATTTTTATAATAAGCTATATCATCTGTTTAAAGGGTGTCTAGTATTATGTCTAAAAACCAATGTAAATACCTTAGAAAATATTGCTACAAAGTATTAACCATCACTTGAGCTTTCAGCATGTGGCAATCACTGATTACAGATCATGATAACAAATATAATAATAAAAAGGTCTGAAATATTATGAGAATTACCAAAATGTGACAGAGACACATTTGCCCAGAAATGGGCAAATGCTGCTGGGAATGGTGCCTACAGATTTGACTTAAAAGGGATTGCTACAAACCTTTAATTTAAAAAAAAAGCATTATCTGTGAAGGGCAATAAAGTGCAGCACAATAAAATGAGGCATGCCTGTAGCTAATTATGAACTTTTTTTTTATTGATTTCACATAAAAAATACTATTACCATAGGTGATGGTAAGATGGGAGACACTGTCCATTTAAATTCTCTTAAGTGCTGTTCCAAATTGGCTTAAACTGGAGGAATATTCTGCTTGAATCCCCATCATCTGTGTGGAAAGAATCTTTATGACCTAGGGCTATCTACCACCCAGTGAACTGAACAGACTGAGTAAAACATAAGTTACTAACTTAGCTTTCTTTTTTTAATATAGCTTACAATAATTTGGAAATGAAAAAAGAATTCTATAAAAAGTCACACTATATAATATAAAAAAAAAGAAGTACAAATTACTTTTTAAAACTTCCCATGGGTTAAAAGTTTCTTACAGACAGAAAAATATTAGCTCAGGTTTGCCAATACAAGTGCAGAAAGGTAGAAGCAGTACAGACTGAGATTAAAAATCCTCTATCAGTGGATCCCTGGGTGGCTCAGCGGTTTAGCGCCTGCCTTTGGCCCGGGGCATGATCCTGGAGTCCTGGGATCGAGTCTCACATCGGGTTCCCTGCATGGAGCCTGCTTCTCCCTCTGCCTGTGTCTCTGCCTCTCTCTCTCTCTGTGTATCTCATGAATAAATAAATAAAATCTTAAAAAAAAATCCTCTATCAGATATTCCTAGCTATTTTAGTTTGTCTGTACATATAATTATACCTTCCAACACACCTTAAGATTTGCATTTGCTGCCTAAAAATTGAGTATCTGTGACACATTTAAGATGACCTTGCATTCTTTAACCATGTTTGACTATCATTTCAGAACTGATTTATTTCCTAGGTGATTTGAATTGTGAAACCTGTACCATAACACGGAGTGGATTGGTTGGTCTGGTCTTTGGTGGTCTGTACCCTGTTTTCTTGGCTATACCTGTGAATGGTGGCCTAGCAGCCAGGTGAGATTCTTTTTTTACTTATAATCATCAAAAAACTTCAAATATAAATGATTACCTAGAAAATGTACAAATTAAAATAGATATAGTTTCTGCTTTTAAGGCAATGTTATTTTGACTTACTTTTTTTTTTATAAGTAATATTACTTCTCAAGAATTTGAAAACTGTTCTAGAAATTGATCCCATTTATACATACCTCTTGCATGTGTAGTTCAGGTTCTTAACCTTAACTTGTGTACTGAATGCCAACAACAAAGCTACAAACAGTACTGTGCCTAGCATGATAGCTAATTATATGCTCAGTGTTACAACTTTGAGTAATTCCACTAAAGGAAAATTCCCACAAAATGGCTGGCAATAAGCCAGTATAATTCAGTTATTTTCTGATGAACTCTTCTATCAAGCTATCAGCTGTATGAGCCTTCAGAGGTGAAGTGGAGGAGGAGACGAAAGAAAACAAGTACAGTTTTAAGGACCAATAGACATCAAAGAGAATAACTGAATTACCTTAATCTTTACCTAAGCTACTTTTATTTTAACACTTCTTGGATTAATATATATTGTACATAGGTTTGCTATTTGATAAAACTATCTTCTAGAGAACTGTCTCCATGTTTTCTTATAGGTATGAGTCAGCCCTGCTACCAGAGAAAGGAAACATCTTAACTTACTGGACTAGAATTTCTAAGCCTGTCTTTAGAAAGATGTTGTTTCCCATTTTACTCCAGACTGTGTTTGCAGCATACCTTGGATCTAGACAATATAAACTAATTATAAAGGCCCTTCAGTTACCTGAACCTGGTCTAGAAATTCAGTGACGGTTAAACAAATGTGTACACAAAAATAAAGTTGTAATGTGTGAATAAATGTCAAGTGTATGAATAAACACAGACTTGTAATCACCTGAGGTACAATTCTAGGACCTATAACATAAGGCTACATAGGGCAACAACAAAAGGCTGAATACTAGTAAGGGCTATTCCCCTTAAAAAAAGAATAGAACTTTTCTAGTTTGCCCAATATTCTCTTCTATTTTGTTTGCTCCATGCCTTTACATTAAGCACATTTTGGTCTGTAACACAGGAAAAATAACCATACAGCAGTTTTTACTAAAGACCTCATTAAGAACCCAAGCAGGAAGGGATGACTGGGTGGCTCAGTGGTTGAGCATCTGCCTTCAGCTCAGTGCATGACCCTGGGTCCTGGGATCAAGTCCCACATCAGGTTCCCTGCAGGGAGCCTGCTTTTCCCTCTATCTCTCTGTCTCTTATGAATAAATAAAATCTTAAAAAAAAAAAAAGAATCCAAGCAGGAGGAGGGGATGAGGATTAATTAGTTCACTACAGAAAATGTTCACTTTGTTTTCCCAAATCATTCTTTCCATAGGTATTATTAATCCATAGACATTTAGAATATATTTAACCTTCCTCACAGGAATCAATTCCAGTAGTCTTGAAAGGTGGTAGGCTCAGCTAGAGCCGATATATTGATATAGCTAATACAGTGATATAATGATATAGTTACACACTTGTCTCTGGAAAGCTATATTCTTGGAAGATTGAGGCAAATTCTACCTTTGAAGCTTCCATCTAGTGTGGGATAGTTCTTTGCGATGACATACCCAGGCCTCTTCTTTTCAGCTGTGTGAGGTTAAGCAAGTTAACCTCTCTGGTCCTTAGTTTCATCAGTAACCTCACTCAAGATTGGTATTATATAGTATATAGGAGCTAACACAGCACTTGACCTTAAGTGGTAGCACTTAAATGGTAGCTATACTCTTTCCTATTGGTTTTGTTTTCTGAAATAGCCTAGTCTAATATTCCTCATTTCCTAAGATCATTTAAATTTTTTTTTTAATTTTTTTTTTTAATTTTTATTTATTTATGATAGTCACACACAGAGAGAGAGGCAGAGACACAGGCAGAGGGAGAAGCAGGCTCCATGCACTGGGAGCCCGATGTGGGATTCGATCCCGGGTCTCCAGGATTGCGCCCTGGGCCAAAGGCAGGCGCCAAACCGCTGCGCCACCCAGGGATCCCCGATCATTTAAATTTTTGAAGTGACCTTTGGTGTTCCCCTTTGTAAAACTTTTCATCTCAGTTTTTTAAACCATTTTCATGTGACAGCATCTAAAATCAGCACTGTCCAAAGAACTTTGTGATGGTGGAAATGTTTTATACATGACTTAAAATGTTAGCTACTAGCCATATGTGGCCACTGAGCACCTGAAATGTAACTAGTGCAACTGAATAACTAAATCTTTTTTTAATTTAAATTTTTTCGCCACATGTAGCTAATGCCTACAGTACAGAACAGTATAGATCTAGACCAGCACTTTCTTATAAGCCAGTCATATAAAATAAAATAAGTGCCATCCCAGATCATATTCACAAGCATCTTAAATTACTCCTTTCAAATATAGTGACCTGTTAAATAATCTTACGCTACTTAACCGTGTGACAGAAGAATTTAATTTAGTTCATCACATAGAAAAGGTAGTCTCACGAGTGAAATACGCTTTCAGGGTCTCTTCAAAAAGAAAGCAGTACAGCTAAAGATTTTAAAATTTAAATGAAATTAACAAAATACATTTTAAGTTTTCCAGAAAGCAAAGCTGATAATTCAACAAGTGCCTTAAAATGTATTCCCTGGCAAATTTATATATGAAATATTCCCAATTATGAGGCAAAAAAAAAAAAATCTATTTTTTTTGCTTTGAATATTCTCTATGTTAGAGAATTAGGGGTGATTTTTCTTTTTGTTTTGATTCCTTTCTGGATTTTGTTTTCTATACCGAATATGCTTTACTTAAAGGTCTGACTCAAAATTACACACCTCTACCTACCTACATACTATCATTTTTATTTAAAGGAGAGTTCTACTTACCACAACAGAGAAAAAAATGAATTAAAAGTAATTCCTGACTTCAAAAATAAGAAACCCAAATTACTAAATTAGACTCCAGAGAATAGTGCAATCAACTTGGATAATTCAAAAGCCACTGATGTAACTAAATTGGTAGTTCAGTAAAAACTGTTTTCTTAAAAAATAAAATAAAAACTGTTTTCTTATCCTGACACATTCCTAGCATAATGCCATCAATATACAGAAGAGTTTGCAATGGTTTCTATAACCAAAAAAGATTCCTTTCTAGCATCTGTCCTCTACCATATATTTTTTATTTAAATCATCTTTTCAATTAGTAAAAATGGGCAACAGAAGCAGAAGACTGTATTATTTTACATCTACTGCTACAAATCTACTCTACCAAAATTTTTGGTTGGGGGCAGGTAAATACATGTAAACTTGCTGTGACTGCATTACAATTTAGGGAACAGTCATTTGTACCTAAGACCTAAAGAACACTACCTCAGTCAGGAAGACAGTTTTTAATAGTTCAGTCATAGTAAACTATTTAAATCTGTCTTTCACAATTTACATGGTGTAGTTAATCTGGCTTAAAGAAAGAGGACTCCTATTATATTGTACTTCAGATAATATAATTTGTAAAACCCCAAAGTATAGAACATGAAGAGCCAGAGGGGTCTAGGAATTAAACTCAGTGTGTGTGTGTGTGTGTGTGTGTGTGTGTGTGTGTGTGTGTGTGTGTGTAGCAAAGGTGTAAAATTCAGCGACATGGTATAAAGAAAAGTTGGGCCACCAATAAAAATCAAATCTACATATTAAGACAACACAATTTCTCAAAACACCATTAAAGATTACATTTTTAGATTGAAAATTAAGCAAAATAATTTTCAACAAAAATAATTTTGGGTCAACAAAACTACAAAAATCATTAGGTCCAATATAAACAGGTTTCTTTTTAAAAAGTGGGGAAAATGGTTCTAAGAAAGAAATCCTGAATATACAAACTGGGAAAAGTAAAAAAAGGAATAAAAACACTGTATCAATAACCAAAGCAATGAAAAAGGCAAAGAAAGGCAAGTTCATAAGCAACTTTCTATTAATCTGTATATTTTTAAAATCAATTTTCCCTAACATTCATGATTTATATTCCTAATGATACTTTCTGAATAAAATTTATTTCTGCACTTCAAAACTGAAAGTAGGGATCCCTGGGTGGCGCAGCGGTTTGGCGCCTGCCTTTGGCCCGGGTCGCGATCCTGGAGACCTGGGATTGAATCCCACGTCGGGCTCCCGGTGCATGGAGCCTGCTTCTCCCTCTGCCTGTGTCTCTGCCTCTCTGTCTCTCTCTGTGTGACTATCATGAATAAATAAATAAAATCTTTAAAAAAAAAAAAAAAAAACAAAGTAAATGACCATTTGTTGTAGTCTAGGTCAGAGCTAAAGGCTGTATATTACATAAGACAACAGTAGGTGACTGCTGGAGAGGATTGAGATATTCAAGGTCAAATATGTGAAAAATACGGTGCTGGCCACACAAAACATTCTACAAGTTTCTACGGAAGACCTCCCCTTTCTGATGTATAGCTTAGATGGGAACTACCTGGTTTCTGAAGAAAAAGCTGCAGAACTAAATACAGAAATAAAACATTTGGGAGGGTCTCAAAACTCTGTATTGATAATGAGTGTGGGGAAAACAACACTTGAAAGTATTTTACTGCCTCTTCAACTTTCAAGAATCATCAGGTTATTTAGCTTAAAAAAATGTGACTAAATCAGTGAGACCTTAAACTGGAACATCAAAATGCTGACCTACATGATCACATATTTTTAAAGCTAATTCTTATTAGCAGTGAATTATCCACTCTATCAAAGAAGTGATTATCTCCAGCTACTGTTAATGCAAAATCTTTGTAGAATTATAACCAATAGGAGCATTCATCAATCAAGGGTAAACCACTCTTTGCTGCCTTGCATCACAGGCACTGAATGTACTTAGATTGCAAGATACAGAGTAGATTTAATAAAAGTTTTGTGTAATAGCATACAATAACCAAACTATATAGTTATGATAAATCATTCTGGGCCTGTCTCCTATCCCTCCCACCCCTCTAACCTGTACACTTCCCAATGAGTCAGTAAGATAAAATGACTCCGTCTAGACCAAATGAAAGAATGTATTAACATAATCCAATGAAAATGAAATAAAACAATCCAGAGTTGAGTGTTTTTTCACACTTGTAATAAGCTGGAAAAGTGTTTCAATTAAGTAAAACAACGATATAATGCAAAAAAAACAAAAAAAACCTTCCATCGTCCAGAATACTAAAGCCCTTACATACGACTAGAGACATTTTAATATATAACAGTAGAAACTAGGATACCATTCATTAGAAACCTCAAAATAGTCAAGAAAGTGTCAAGTACTCAGAGAAAACTCAAGAAGCCAAAATCTCAGAATGCAAACATCCTCTTAACCCTAAATTGCAATTAACTACTCACATAGTTAATCATAATATTTTCAAAGATACACAAGACAAATCAATGCATCTACTCTTTATAGTTAAGGACTTTACATTAACTTTTATATTCTACTCAGCAAGGTCTGCCTATACTCCAGATTAGCTCTCAAGTTCCAGGAAATAAATACAAACTCATGATAAGCTTTGTGATCCCTGATGGCCTGTTTATGTAATTCTACTCCACTAAATGTAATTCCATAGAATGTGTTCTTGATAATGTAAAGAATCTAATATTCCTTGATGATATACTATAATTCTCTTCTCCAATGGTTACAATTTTTAAAAGGTATGCAAAGAACTGAGTATCACTCCCATGAAAGACAAAAAAAAAAAAAAGTATAATTTTGTTCCAAAATTAACTTAGTCTCATGTATTTCTATTAAGTCTTTCAAGGATTCCAGAGAATCTTTTCATATCTCCATTTCTGGAAAGTGAAATCAGTATAGAAGTAATTTGGGAACTTGAAAATGGCATTCATTTTTTTCAGCAGATGCCAAATTTTTGACCGACATGGCTCCCACAATTACTTTGTTACCATCAGTCCAGTCAGTTAACAGGTTGTAGGAAAAGATTCTTTTTGCAGACACTGCTAAGCTGTTTAAAGAGAAGAGAGAGAGATTAATTTAGTGATTACAAAATGCACAAATATTTAAAATCTTTCGAACACTTTTTGTTGGATTATATCAGAGGTGTGACTACATTTTAACAAACGTGGACTTTTTAGTTAGGACTGGTCAAGAAAGTGCAGAAACAGTAAGTCAATATGATAGAAATAGAAGGTCAATATGATGTGTTAGTTCAATTAATGTATGAATTCCTGTCACCATCAGAAGACAAATATCAAAACACTACCTCTTTACACTAATTCTGTATCATTTTGCCAAAGAGGCAATTAGGGAAGAAGGGAAAAAAAAAAAAAAGGTTCCCCAAATACTAAGTTGTTTTCAACCTCTAAAGTAGAGCCAAACCTTAAAATTTCAAAACAATCCACATTATATGCCAAAAAATCTCCTTTATCCAACTATTAATCATTCAGAACACAATTTTCTAAAAATAGTAAGACAACAATTTCATATTAATCATAACTTTTTAATTAACAAGTAGTGAATAGGACACTTTAAGATATTGTTTACTACATACTGAAATAAACAGATCTGTTGTAAATTCAGAAACCCAAACATTTACAGTAAAATGTGCTTACACATAAATATGATCAAATTTATTTAAAGCCCCTGTTAGATAGGTCCTAAATACATGCAATACCATGTAAAAACAAGACCATGAAGTTGATGTAAAAAATGACAAAAATCACTAAGTCACCAAAATTAGGAAGAAAAAAAAAAAGAATGAAATGGAAACTAAGAAAAGACAGTTAAAACATAAGAAGCCTAACAAAAAGCAGCTTTAAAAATAGGCGATACTAATCTCCATTTTCAAAAGTTCTTAATCAAGTATTTCCAAAAACTGCCATTTATAAAATGACATCCTAAAAATCTACGCTTGGAATTTTCAAAGCATCCCATTTCAGAAAGCTTTGATTACTGTTTCTCCCCAGCCCGAACTTCAAATGATGCAGGAAAAGCACTGACATTAGAAGAAAATATTCCAAGGGAATGGTATTTTAGAAAAACACACTTACTGCTTCCAGAACCTTTTAAGACCCACAGTCAGCATTAACAACAATCATTTTTCCTATTTTCATCCATTATTTTCCAATGTCATGTTAGAGATGAATAAATTCTTTGAGCCCATAACTGAAAGATCAACAAACCTGGTTTTATTATGACACCGTATTTTTGTCATTGGTACTGCACAAAATTATATACAAAGAAATATATACAAAATGTTCAAGTATTAATTAAATTTCAATTCAAGGCTTCTGTTTCAAAAAGCTACATTTAACATATTCCATAGATAGCACAAATTAGTCATTTCAAATAATTTTTCCAACTACTTTTGGTTTTTTTATATATATGTATATATATATATATATAATTCAGTAGGCACTAAAAATCCATGCAGCTGCATTGTGAGGGGCTTGCTCCTGCACTTAGGAATAAGCAGGTTCATCACTCCAGGCTGTGAATTTGGTACTACCCATTCATGCTCAAGTGCAGATGATTTTACAAAATATGCTGTAATGCACTGGAAACCAGAGACCAAAGTTAGGTCTCAAATCATGTTATCTAGCAACAAAACATTTACAGTTCTGCAAGAACAAGGATTCCATTTTTATAACCAAATAACAACAAAATAAAACATGTGTAAGATAACTTACATCTTTGGACTGCTGGAAAATACTTTTTAATTATGAACATTTTAAAATAAAAGACAGCAGAAGCCCTGATATTACCTCTTTTTCCTCATTTCTTATACTACCTTTTAAAATAAAGCAGGAAATGTGGCCAGCAGCTGGTCCCGTCTCTTCTGCCCCAACAGCTGTATCCACTTTAGCACAAAGAAAAACAAGGATGCTAAATATGTATATACTTGATCAAACAGTGATGTTTCACAAAGAATTTCTTAATGCCTCTTACACTGAAGGACACCGTAACTCAATCTATACAACTGGACAATGGATAATACAGTACTTCAAGGGAAGAATATGTCCCATCTTTGGAAAGTGTCGATCGTGTCCTTAAGTTAGCCAGAACCAGCCAATTTAAAAAAATTATTTTTAAAAAGGACAAAAACCTTGAAATAAGGAGAGTAGTAAGATTCTTTGTGAAGCCTCACTTTACATGTTTTCATTCACATTTCACAAACCTTCAATTTATCTAATCATACATAAATTTAACCTAAAATTTTAATACAACAAAAGTAAAGGTGTTCAACAATTTATTTATAGTCAGTGATAGGGTAATCACTGTGCTGGTCCTCAAAGAAACATTTCATTAACCACTCTTATTCCTCCTTCAATTAATTGACACAGAGATGCATGTTAATTTCCAACTTTTTAAATGGTGAGATTAAAATCTTCTCATCTGAATAGATTGCATTTCTAGGTCTCCTACTGAAAACTAAAAGGCATACCCAAATAGTTAAGGTATTTCCGTCATCTTCAGCAAAGTTAACTATCACATTTGTGCAAGCCCCAAATACTTATTGTCAACCTCTAAAAAGTTGCTCTAAAATTGGAATTCCAACTTGCACCTTGTACAACTCGGAACTTCCATTCAACTTCACCTGTTTCACTGTCTCCAAACTGTATCTCTATTAGCAGCTTTCAGTGTACAGTTGGAACCGATGTCATCCAAGGCCATGTCCACACTGGGGACAGAAGAGCTAGGTACACGCAAGTCTGAACAAGGGGACACATTAACAGCTATTTCAACCAGAAGAAGCATCTTAAATACATTACTGACCAGCACAAGTCTGTTTCCAGGGTGGACAGGGCCCAAATTAGACTTCCCCTCCCACCTTCCAAAAAAGAAAAAAGAAAATAAAAAACCCACACACACACACACACACAGACACACACACAAATTGAGATGTTGCCCATTAAAGTAGACTAAGCAGCAGAGCATGAGCGTTACGTGAAGAGATGGATCCTTACCAGGTTGTGAGGCGGGAACGACTGTTCTGTAACCCCTACAACGGAGCCTGGCAGGAAGGAAATCACCTAAAAAAGAAACTGTCAGAGAGATTTAATAGTCACATGTTATCATTAGGAGTTGGTTACAGTGTCACATTCATGCTTTTAGCTAAACACTTAAAGATTCAATATTACTTTTTCCTCCTCTGAAATGTGTCCAGTGAAGATGTCCCACTAAGGTGTTTTACATGGTGTAAGGGAGTTGAAAGGGGTAAACGCGGATAAAGAGCAGATTACTTGACCCTACATTTTAAGAGAAGACGACGCCTTCCGGGCGCACGCCGAGCAGAACTCCACCGACACCTTATCCTTGTCCACATGAAGACACACTCCTCCCGCCGAGTCGTCCTCTTCCAGCAGGTCCTGCTGCTGCTGCTGCTGCTGCTGCTGCTGCTGCTGCTGCTGCTTTCCCACGGGCAGAGCGTAGTCATGGTCACCGGCGGGCGAGTCTCTGAAGAGCGAGGTGGTCAGCCGCAGTCCCACGCCGCTCAGCCGGCTCAGCAGGCGAGCCAGTCCCGTCTCGTTGGCCAGGACGGCCCGTAGGTAGCGACTCTCCTCCTGCAGTGCCTGCACGCGCTTGCCCAGCTCCCGATTCTCGGCCCGCAGCTCCTGGTTCTCGGCTGCCAGACCGCGGACTCGGCTCTCCAGCCCCATCACGTACTCCTTCTTCTTCAGCCGATTGAGACGGGCAGCCGCCGCCGCCGCCTTCCGGGGACTCTTTGTCGCCGCCTGGTTGCTGTCGTTGCCGCCACTGCCGCCGCCTCCTCCTGGGGACTTTCTCCGCCTCTTTTCGCCGCTGCCACTGTCACTGCCGCCGCTGCAGCCTCCGATGCCGTTTAACAGCCTCTGCAGCAGGTCAGAGAAGCGCTGCATCTCGGCGGCCGCGGCCTCGTCATCGTCGTCCCCTCTCCACAGGCCGCCGCTATCGGAGCCTCCGCCGGACGAGGAGAGGGGCCCGGGCGAGCTGAGCCCGGGCTCCAGGTGCCAGTCCGGTTGCCGGGGGTCCAGCAGATCTGCCAGTTCCAGCCCGGACAGAAAGTCCATGTCCTCCGACTCCTCCCCGGGGGCGCCGGCGATCGCCTCCTCCTCCATCTCCTCGGGCGAGGGCGCGCGCACGGCCACGCCGCCGCGGCCCCCCCTCCCGGCCTCAGAGTCGCCCTCGTCGCCCCGCGGCTGCCTGCGGCCGGGAGATCCGGCCGCCGCCGCCGCCGCCGTCTCTTCCTCCTCCTCCGCCGCCGCCGCCGCCGCCGCCGCCGCCCGGGTCAGGTCCGGGGGCAGCAAGCAAGTGGCGGCCGGAGCCGGGCTCTCGCTGCGGGTTGGGGAGTCGCTGCCCGAGGCCGCCAGCAGCTTGGTCAGGCTGTGCCTCATGGGGCCCAGCGGCGGGCCCACGTAGGCCCCGGCCCCTCAGACCGGGCCTCGCGGGCCCCAGGACCCCAGACCCCAGCGCGCGGGGCCCGGGAGCTGGCCAGAGCGCAACGGAGGGGAAGGGCCGAGTCGCCTCCCGCCCCACTTGGCCGGTCGACCCCCCGCGCCGGGGCGGGGGGAGGGATGGGAGACCGAAGCGGCGCGGCCCCGCGATGACTCGACCGCGCCACCCAGACAACGGCCTGGCCGGAAGTCAGTCGATCTCACCCCAGCCCCTCCCACGGCGTTTCGCGCGCCACTGGGCTCTAGTATCGCGAGAGTTCAGTGAGGTCTACGGTGGGAGTAGTTGCAGAATTTCGGTGATGTCATGGTCCGCACGCGGCAAAAATAACAACAAATCCCGAGTTTACTGATAAGTGGTCTGCTCTCTCCGCCCTCGCTTCTCAAGCCTCCCTATTCAAACTTCCACTTCCAGTGAAACCACTCTCGCACAGACTTGGGCTTCTCAACCCCAGATTTATGCATCACCTTAAAGCTATCCTGCATTTCCCTGGAATTTCAAGACTGGTGATCAGACACCGCTTGAAATGGCTCCTTTCCCTTCCATTTGTAATACAAGAGCCTTTCGCTCAAACACAGAGTAGTGGGGGGGGGGGAAGAGGTAAATGAGTCATTCATACGTGATTGGATTTTTTTTTCAAGTTTTTATTATAATAATTAAAATGTCTAAGCCATTTCTATGCATTTTCTTTTTTTTTAATTTTTTTTTATTTATTTACGATAGTCACAGAGAGAGAGAGAGAGAGAGAGAGAGAGAGAGAGAGAGAGAGAGAGGCAGAGACACAGGCAGAGGGAGAAGCAGGCTCCATGCACCGGGAGCCCGACGTGGGACTCGATCCCGGGTCTCCGGGATCGCGCCCTGGGCCAAAGGCAGGCGCTAAACCGCTGCGCCACCCAGGGATCCCTCTATGCATTTTCTAAACAAACAAAAAGGTTTTGTCCTTGTCTGTAAAAAGATTGCAACCCCATTTCCTGTGTGTGTTCTGTAGTGGGCGTGAATGTGAGCATGTGTGGGTTCACGTGTGTGTCAGTGTTTCTGTACTATCACTACCTCACGGTTTTAGTGATGGTTGTACTGCTGGTTGTGTTAACAGAGGACGTCTTGTTGAGTGAATCGTGTGTGTGATTTTTTTCCTGTTTGTTTTATCCGGGGGGTTCATGAAAATGACAGATTTTTTTTTTTCCTGAAAAGGACTACTACCAGTTTCCAAATAGAGTATTTTCTGGTTTTTCCTGAATGAGCCTGATTTTGTTGCTGTTTTTCATCTATCTGGTTAAAAACAGTACTCTGAAAATCCCTGTGGTGGGGTTCAACAGCCCTCTTGCATTCTTTTCTCTGTTGTGTTGGCAATTTTATGAATGTGCTTAGTTTTGATAACCACAGGTTTTTAAATGTTTTTGTGTTTACATTTTATATTTTACTTATTCTGGTCAGTGTTTCAGGATCATATTTCCTTTGACATCGACTTTACTTGAAATCAAAACAAATTCTAGTTTTAAAAGTAGATGTTGAAATGGGCTACATTACAGAGGCAAACTCTTCTCATTAGAACACTAAGGTTTCAACTAAATTTCTTCCAAGTTCTTTAGGAATTTCAGAAGTTTTTCCCCCTTAAGTCTACATATACACTCTTGTGACAATGTTGTGGTCTCTTTCCATACTAAAATTTAACAAGAGAGATACATCTCCATCCGGTAGAGTATATAATTCTTTGAAAAAGTTTTAACATAAGGTTTTATTGATTCATTTTAAAAATATCTGAAGCATATTTTCTTTTTTTAAAAGATTTTATTTTTTTTTTAAGATTTATTTATTTGTGATAGACATAGAGAGAGAGAGAGAGAGAGAGAGAGAGAGAGGCAGAGACACAGGAGGAGGGAGAAGCAGGTTCCATGCCGGGAGCCCGATGCGGGACTCCAGGATCGCGCCCTGGGCCAAAGGCAGGCGCCAAACCGCTGAGCCACCCAGGGATCCCCAGATTTTATTTATTTATGACAGACACACAGAGGGAGAGAGAGAGAGGCAGAGACACAGGCAGAGGGAGAAGCAGGCTCCATGCAGGGAGCCCAATGTGGGACTTGATCCCCAGTCTCCAGGATCAGGCCCTGGGCTGAAGGCGGTGCTAAATCGCTGAGCCACCTGGGCTGCCCTGAAGCATATTTTCTAAATTTAACTACAATAGTATCTACATCAATTTCTAATGGCTTGCATAAGAAAATTGCCATTTGAGAAGACTGTGTTAAGAAGTATAAATGCAGAATATGAAATCAAAGATAATGATTCCCAAAATCAGATGTATGAAAATACTACTACTCAGAGAGTAATGAATATGTAAATTACCCAGAGATAGTTCTGTAGATCTCTGTAACGTTGAACATCAAAATTCTAGCAAACACCTATAGTGGTTCTAGTGATAGTTGGACCATAATAATAGAGTCTCTAAATTTAATCCCCATTGAAAATTAAAGTATCAATCTCTTTCTTTTTTTTTAAGATTTTATTTATTCATGAGACACACACACAGAGAGAGAGAGAGAGAGAGAGAGAGGCAGAGACACAGGCAGAGGGAGAAGCAGGCTCCATGCAGGGATCACAACAGGAGCCAAAGGCAGATGCTCAAGCACTTAGTCACCCAGGCCCCCTGTTAATTTCAAATGGGTATTTTTTTTTTTTTATTAGGTTAAGCTCAGTTGCAGGAAAGAGAAACCAATCTGGCTATTTTAAGCAGAAAAGTTTCTAATACAGAGAATGCGTGCTTATAGTCATTGGAAGGACTGGAGGAATGGGCACTAGGCTGGGAGATCAAGAATGCCTCTCAGTACAAAGTGGCCAAACAGGCCTGATAGGAACCTGCTATCTCTGCCCCAGTTGGGAACATGGTAAAATAGAAAACTGGAATTTAGCTCCCAAGTGCATGGCTACTGCCCAAACTCTCAACCCCATGTATTATTTATTGTGGCCTAACACATTACCCAAAATCTAAAAACAACAACAAATATTTGTTTATTGTTGTGGCTTAAACCCACTATAAGCATTTATTTTCTCTTGAAGTTCTTATTGGTCAGAAATTTTCAAGTGATTTGGCTACCCAGTCTGGCTCTGGAATTTTCGTGGAATTCAATCATATTTTGGCTGGGGATGCAGTCATCTGTGGGCTTGACTGGGTCTAGAGATGGCTAGAGGAAGCTTCAACTCCTCTTCCATATGGGCCTCTTCATAGGTTGCGTGAATGTCTACACTACATGATGGCTGGCTTCCACCAGAGTGAATGATCCAAGACATCAAGGAAGCAGCTGCAATGTCTTTTATGGCCTGGTCTTAGAAGCCACATATGTTCACTTCTGTAATATTCTATTGTTCACAGTGTCAGACCTTACTCACTCTGAAGACCACACAAGGATTGAATACCAGGAGACAAGAACCATTAGGTGCTATCTTGGGGGCTGACTACCATATCCCATAAAACTAGTGAATGAATATAAGGATGCTGTTGCAAAAAAACACAGTGTTTCCAAGAATATGTTTGGCAGCAACAACAGCCAAAGAAAACAGGGGGTAAGGGCCTGTGCCTCATCTGCATCTTCCTAATATAACTGCAGAGGAGTCTGGCAAATATAGTTTGCTTCTGTGTTTCTTTTGTTTCAGCTTTCCTATTTTTGTAATATGGAGAAAACACATCAAAAGAGGAATTGAAATAGATAACAACTACCAATCTATCAAGTCCTCTACAAAGACCATGACTTTGTGGTACTTCAGCACCAATACATGCATTTATTGGATTTTCTATAGCAGAGGATTGGAGCAGAGATGGTAGCGAATGCAGGGAAATCAGAGTTGGAGCATAGTGCGACAGAGGCCAGAATGCTCATTTTAATCTAGTTTGCCTATTCACCCGTGAAGTATAATCTTCATAAAACCATGAGAAGGTCTTACTGAGTGAAAATTGAAGACTCAGGGATTGACAGTGTTTGACCACTGTAGGATTATGTTTACAAGCACTGCATATTTGCATGGATTATGTGCAATTCCCAGTGTGCTCGCTATATTTCATTCCTTTGTTCTCTACTCAAGAAAGCATTTCTGAATGCAAATGAATGAAAATTACACTATTGTGGACTAATCTGGAATCAGATTTCTTTTATTTAAAAATAACCAACATTTGTAATCAACTAAAATAGTAACAATGTACTGGTATATCTCCCAACTAATCAAGCAACTCAAGTTGAGAATTACTGCTTTTAGGGGAAGGGACAACAGGTGTAGAAGTTTTAGGATTAGAGATTTGGAAGGGCAAAAGCAGCACTTTTCATGCTCTAATAGGAAGAACTCCACTTCTCATCTCTCACCCCAGGAACCCCAGAGCCAGAACTTGGCTGAGCTGCCCTAGTTTCCCTTTGCCAATTCCAAGTTATTTCTCTTCTTCCTTCCTTCAGAAACCTCAGCTCTTTTTCAATTTAATTTTTTGAGTATTGAAAATTTGCAGTCATACACAAAAGAAAATAATGAATCTCAATATACTTCTCCTCCAGATGTAAGCATTATCAAGGTTTTGCCACACTTACTTAATCTCCCTGCCTTGTTTTGCTCAAGTACTATGAGGTAAAAATTCTAGACATCATGTCATTTTATCCTTACATGTGTCAGTATGCATTTTTAACTGTAAGGTCATTTTTTTTTCCCTACGACAACAATGTCATGGTTGTAACCAGTAATATTATTATGGATTTCTTGGTATCATTTGAACCCAGTCACTATTCAGTTGTTCCACAAATTTCTATCTACAGATGACTTGATTGATTCAGGATCCAAACAATTCTATAGATTCCATTTGCTTGTATGTTTTTAAATCTCTTTTCATCTAGGGCAGTGTCCCTTCTACCGTTTTTCCCCAGTGCCATTTGACTGAAGAAACCAAGCCATTTGTTTTTGTTGAATGTCCCATATTCTAGATTTGTTTGCTTTCTTATGGTGCCATTTTACTTTTCTTCATTAGCCCCATCCATCCTGTAAGCAGGAAATTAGTTTTCAAGGGTTAGTTTGCTTCAGGTTCAACATTTATGGCCAGAATATTTCCTAGAAGGCACCACTCTTCATGATGCATCCTATGACATGTGAATGTTTAACTATCCTGTTTTTTTAATATAATAAATTTATTTTTATTGGTGTTCAATTTGCCAACATACAGAATAACACCCAGTGCT